ATCACAGCAGGGAAGTCCCGGTCCCTGCACAAGAAAACGGAGGTGAAGAATTGGTTAAAGAGGTCCGCTTTCTCCTCTGACGCAACCACCAAATTGCCCAGCGTGTCCTGCAGGGGTCCCACATTACCCGGCACCTTCTTCATCCTCCCAATGTATTTGAAAAAGGACTTTTTGTTATCCTTAATCTTGGACGCTAGTCCGAGCTCCATGTCCGCCTTGGCCTTCCTAACAGCTCGCCTACAGGCCCGAGCTGAGTAGGTATACTCTGTTCTGTTGTGTAATGTAGCCGGTGAGCTGGCCCCATGGCTAGAATCTGTATTAACTTTCAGGTCTTAACTGTTACATCTGGTTCTCCCTCTGACCAAGCAAATCAGTCAGAGCTGCTCAGAATACAGGGCTCATGTGCAGCATAAACAGGGACCCCTCAGAGAACATCAAAACCCCAAGCACTGATTGCAGGTCAGATCCTTCTGTCTTTCAGCCCAAGGCTCTTGCATGGGCCCGATCCACACAGTTCAGTTCCCTGAAAGGCAGTTGAAACGATAGGATGGCAGCAGGCTGTCACAAGTCACAGCAGGTGAGCCCAGGCTGGAATTGCAAGCATGCTAGATGTGGTTGGATGTAGCCATCCATTGCAGAAAGGTTCCCTTATCACCGGCCTGCACAGCGCTCTGAGCATGCGCCAAGCTCCTGGCTCTTGCAGGGAGATTTTGAGCGTGTTTGCTTTACATAATTATTTGCAAAAAAGAAAAGAGCTCGGGTGTCCTGGCAGTGGTTCAGGGTGACCTTAGTCACAGCCCAGTTTAAGTCCGTGACTCACCCAGCAGGGCTTTGCTTGCAGCAGAAATGGACTTTGACTTCTGGTAAGGCATTGTGCAGGAGACTTGAAGCATGCAGTTAGCACACAGCAAGCCTGCCACACCCAGGGGAATGCAGCACTTTCGCCATCACCTTTCCGTGCTCTGGGAGGAATCGGCTTCTCCCACACTTGCTCTGGGGAGGCCAACAGAGGCAGGGAGCTGGCCAAGGAGGAAGGAAGCTCCTCAAGTTCTGCAAACGTTCACTGACAGGAAGAGGAGTAGCTGCTGGAGTCATCTGACTTCTTCGTGAGCTTCAACTTGTCCAGGAGAGAGGTGTGCTGAAATGAAGAGATCCAGTACCTTCGAGGAGCAAACAGAGTGTGTTGTAGAGGCACTGCTTTCTGACTTCCTGGGGGGAAAGGAGCCAGTTGCATGGCGCAGCCTGGAGACGGATTCTACGTCTCGGGCAGAGTCAGGTAAGTTTGCCTGGGCCCCAGCTTTAGGTGGGAGGGAGTGAGGGACCTGTTTTGGTCAATGTGGGGTGGGAGCCCTGGGGCACTTCACAGGGCAGCAATACAGCTTGGCCTGCCAGGTCTTGAGTGGTGGCATGGTCTGTGCCCTGGCTTGTATGACCTACTGTAGCCCTGGTGAAGCAGGTCAGACCCAGGGCACTGCTGGAGCTGGTGTGAGCAGGGGTAGCTGTGAGCAGCCGCAGGGTTTGCATCTCAAAGGTGACTCAAGCATCGGGCCCCAAGGGGAAGCCTCCCGCCTCCTGCTGCCTGTTTCCCCCCATGAATTAAGGCGCACGGGTCTAGTTCCATTGACTCAAGTTGCATGGAAACGGCCCTTGAACAGCCACAGCTCAGATGGCCTTTTCCTGAGTCCCTGGTGTTGTGCGGGGTCTAAACCCAAACATGAGGGAGCTTTGCACTGCAAAGCACTGAACTACTCTGGCTCTGACGAGAGACTAGAGGGGCTGATGGGGCTTGTGCGTGCGAGAGGTGGCTGTTGACTCCACACCCAGGTGGAGATAAGGCTGTCCACTGCTTCCTGGTACAGACCTAGTCTTCAGGTGCCAACAGCTTTGGTGTTTGGGGTCAGTTTCCAGTGCTTGATGCCTGCTGGGGCTGAAGCTTTAGCAATTTCCACAAAAACTGATTCAGCACTTTCTTGAGATGTTTCAGTTAGGGTAAAGGAAGTGCTGGAACTTTTGGCCAAGATGATTCAGTGACCACAGGTTTTGTTGGGGAAGTACTCCTTGGCCCCTCTGAAAAATTGCCCAATCAGGCCCAGTTGTAAATCGTTGAAAAAAATCAGTTTGCTCAGCAGAAACTAAGAGCTCAGCAGCTTGATTCTCTCTGCCCCAAGCGCACAGCATCCTGGGAATGCCAGGGGTTTGAGTAGGACTTTGCTCATGGCCTATGGCCAACGAGATCAAGGTGGGAGCAGGCAGCAGGACTCTCCTGAGTCCTTGCTTTCCTGGCCAGTTGCTTGCCGGTGTGACAGAAGAGGAAGTCTCCTGACTGAAACAGAGGGATGATGAGCCAGGCCTCAGGGATGCTAGGGGTGGACTGGGGTGAGCGCCTGGAGAGGGCATTCGAACTTGGACTGGACATGAAGCTGTAGGAGGTAGGGAACCACCTTTCCAAGACCCACCCAAAGGGCCTGAGATATGGGGTCTGGTTGGTGGATGGAAATGTGGAGAGTTTATGACTACTAGAGGGTAATCCCACCTCCCCAACCCTGGACCTGGACCTGGAAATGAACCCAAGAGTCCGAGTCTCACTTCTTCAGTTCTCGGGAAATAGCTGTGAGGCTCGCTGGCAACATGCGTGTCCTGCCACCAGCTTGTACCGGACCCATGGTGCTGCTTCCAATGATGCCACTAACTGACACCAGCTGCCTGTGCAGTGGGTCTGGCAGAAGCCCCACTGATGGTTGTCCTGGATGGACCTTGGTGGGGGGAGGGAGGTTTTTTCCCCCTAAATCCAGATGATTAGGAACAGCGTGTGGCCTGCGTGCTGCATCATCCCTCTTGCTTTCTGCTTCCCCTCGTAGTAATCTTTAGCAAGGGGGTACTAGAAGGTCCCAGCACGTTTGACCCGGTGGTGATTGCCAGCCGCCTGCGGATGCTGGGGGACATGTACAACCAGGATCTGGAGGGACCGGCTCAGCAGGTCATCACCGGCATGACAAGTGGAAAGGTAACACAGAGCTCTAATGCACTCCTGGTGGGGACCTCCTGCCTCTCCTGTGGCCCCACTCTGAGGCTTCCTCACGAGGACAGAAGTCCTGCTGGGGGGCAGTGGTCATGGGACACGTGGCTTGTGCTACTGGCCTCTAGTAGGAGCTGTGGGGGTCAGGGCCAGGCTGCTGGTACCTGCTGCCAGAGGGTGGCAGTCCAGCTGTGTGAACAGTCTCGCTGTGGCTGGAGGCGACTGACAGAGGCTCCAGGCTGAGAAGTGCTGTGAGGGCCCCACTGGATCCCCTGGCATCACCATGTGGCTGGTTCCTCCTTACCTCCCTTGTGACTCCCTTCCTAGGGGCTGTGTTTAAACCCCAGCAGGCCTCTAGGCCTTCACTCCCAACGGAGGGGGCAGTGCGGGAGAGGCTCTGCTTCTCGGGTGATGTTGCTCATGCCAGTGTGAGGCTGCATGATGCTCTAGCTCCAGTGACCTAGAAACTGGCCCTCCCAACCCCGTGCCCTGCTTGCCCGCTGTGTGCGCTACTGCAGTTCTGCATGAATGCCTCCCCCACATCCAGGTGAGCCCTGCCTGGAGACCTTGCACTGTTCACAGATCTACTGAGCTGGGGGGCACAGGGTGAAGTAAGCCAGGCCCCAGGGGCCCTGTGTGCCTTAGGCCAGGCTGCATTTAAATGGTGGATTTGGTACCTACAGGTGGAGGCATTTCGAGCTGCGGTGGAATCTCTCAGCAGGAGCTGGAGCAGCCAGAACCCTGAGCTGGGCTACGAGAGAGCTTTGCTGAGTGTCTCTGTGAAGCTGGGCATGTACGTCGCCCAGAAAATCCCAGCTGTGAAGGAGCAGCTGGTGGAGCTGATTAACAGGAACCGCCAAGTGAGAGGCTACATCCAGAACCAGGGTGGATGGGTGAGTGCTGAGACCCCGAGAGCTGAGGGCTCTGCTCCTTCACTAGGTTCCTCTGGCCACAGCCTGAGGGGAGTAGACTCCAACAGCACCGTTCACCGGCACTCCCAGAGGGGAGCCGAGCCCTGGCCCTTGGTGCCATGCAGTTCTGCAACGTGCTGTTGTGGTTGTGCCTCTTGCATTGGGCACTGGCCTGGGGCGGTGCAGTGCATCCCCTGTTGGCTGTGCTCCATCAGCAGCTCTGCTCTGCTAACCCCACCTATGCAGTCCCACTAGCGTCCCTGCAGCGAGGCTGTGCGCAGCATCTCGCTGCCATGGGTGCTCCTGCTTCTATCTTGGATAAGGCCCCAAGGAATAAACTGATTGTTAAGGGATCTTTCCAGCTCCTGCATGTGCACTGCACTACAAGCACCTGTCCCCCGTGGGCCAGAGGCCAGTCTTACCTCGTTTTGCAGCTCAAGTGATGCCATGTCTTGGCTTGGACCAGAGGTGGCTCAGCATGCAGGACACGGGGCAGGAGTGCTGCCTGCCTCCCTCCCCATCACCTTCTTCCTCACTCTTCATTGTTTCTTTTATTCTTGTAGGAGAACTTGGAAGCCTCGTAAAACTGACAAGAAAAGCCACACTGCATCCAGAGGTGTGCTACCCATGCCCAGACACTACCACTTTTCAGAAAGAAATGACTCTTCCTTGCCATCAGGCCTACAGCCTCTGGCTTTCCCTCCCCATCCCTGAAGATGGAGTACCTGCTCTGTGATTACATGTGTTATGGCTGTCCTCCCTGCCAACCGGGGCTCCAGTTCCCATGTGCAATCCCTTTATTCACAAGTATCTTTAGGGCAGGTTCAGATCTCCGTGTTAGACCTTGCCAGAGACACCTGGTTTTGCTGAAACAAGCTCCTAAGGAGTCAGTGCATCTTAAGTGACCCTGCAGCTTGTGGGCAGCTCTTTGGGGTGCTGTGCTGCGCCTGCCTGTGGTGTGAGCAGTCAGCAGTGCCAGAGGGGCTGCGTCCTATTTTGGGCTTTGTGGGGAGTGGCCTTGAACCGAGTCACCCCACCCCAGACCATGCTGGAAGAGCTGCACAGACAGGGATTTCTCCCTGGCCCCAGCCCTCACTTCCCAGAGAAGTCTACCACGCCTCTCTGAGCGGGGATCTTCCAGAACACCTCTGTTAGGCTCCTCGCCCCTGCCCTGATGCCCACCTGCGATTGTGGGGGTGGTGGCAGCCTGAATGTCTGTATAAAAAACTTGTCAGACTGATTTGTGAGCATGAAGACAGTCCAAGTCCTCTGCGTGTTTGTCCTCCCACCCTGTGAATCATGCTGTCCCTGGCTTGTGAGTTGCTGTGTCTCCCAGCCCATCTCTTCACTTGGAGCCCATGGGTAATAAATTATTAAATGCTTGATTCTAACCTGGATCTGGGTCTTTTGTGTCCCTGGGAGTGGGAACCTTGCCTGAGTGTGGGCTTAGCTGAGAGGGGAGCCATCTGCTTGTTGGCTTTGCTGGGCCAGTTGCTTTTATTACTCTTGCAGCCTGTTACAGAGAAACTGCTAGTGTGCAAAGTGGGATGTCCACAACCTGCAAAACCAACACGCCCTTGGTTGCTGAGAAGGAAGGAGCACAAACCTGCTCCAGCGCCAGTGTTTGCTTTTACCGGTACGTTGCATTTCTCTCGTCTGAGACAACGGACTGGGTCCCGCTCCTGTTAGGGGTGTGTCTGCAGCAACGGCTTGGTGCAGCAGCAGCTGGGTTTCAGGCTATGCAAGAAACGTCCTCTGGAGAC